GTTTTATTCTGTCACATGGGATTAATATAAGTCAAAAACTGGGCGGCATTTGACAGCAACAAACACTACACTAATAACCAAAAGGTTGGTGGTTCAAGTCTATCCAGAGGCACCTCAAAAAAGCATCCTGAAGATCTGCTTCTAAAAGGTCAGAGCCACTGAAAACCCTCTGTGGTAGTTCCACTCTGGCCATATGGGGTCACCACGGGTCGGAATCAAAGCCACAGCATTAACTGTTCACACCACTAGGAAGTCCCCTGGTGTAGACAGTTACTCTGGACATCCGGGGCTCAGAGACGCTTTTAGGCCCTGGAGCCCAGGGGCCTAAGAATGTAAAACCACAGGGCTACATTTGCACAAGTAGTTTCACATGCCATTCTGGGAAACCAGTCCATGGCTGTTTCCCTGTAGAAAGGATAGAGTGGAAAACAACGGTATGTGGAATTCTTGGAGGAGGACAGCCGCACATGGGCACACACGCCCCAGGTGCATGTGAGCATCGTTCACAGACACACCAACCGATGCCCAGTTGCTGCACACACCACCACGCAACCGGCCTACCTCAGCCCCGAACCACAGCTGACCGGCAAGGTTGTCGTGCCGGATCTCCTCAGGGAATTTGACACAGAAGTCGCGCGGGGCGCGGTCCTGGGGGATGCACTCGTCCATGATCTGGTTGATGATGTTCAGCACGTTGTCCTGAAACAGAAATGAGACAGACGCTGAGAAGCTACCCACCAGCGTGGGCTGGGACTCCGCACCCTTGTCAGCTCCAAGGTAATATTCCGAAAAAACACTCGCTGTTTATGAAAGTGTGACGGAAGGCACGCGTGCCTGCTGTGCAAATACTATAACATGTGCCAACTTTCCAGAAGGATCCAAAGCGTGACACTTCAGCACCCCACTTCTGCCCCATGGCTTATTCCACATGTGGGATTTTTGCATACTTACCTACAGTGCTGGGGGGCGGGTTTCTGACTCTGTTCATTTAACAGTAAGTCCTGAACACCCCTTGTTACTGCAGAGATCTGACTTCACCTTTGCAACAGCTACACCATATTCATTCCAGTAGGTGGTGTTCGTGGTGTGTTGTGGAGTCGGTTCCGACTCATAGTGACCCTGTATAGGGTTTCCAAGGCTGTCGATCTTTATGGGAGCAGAGAGCCTCATCTTTCTCCAGCGGAACAGCTGGTAGATTTAAACTGCTGACCTTGCAGTTAGCAACTCGGCTCACAATCCACTACGCTACCAGAGCGCCTTCTTCTTTCCGGTAGAGACAGTACTTTGACCCACCATACCCCAATGATCGACCCTGCAGTCCCCGAAATCTTTAGCTGAAGTGGCAACCCCAAATGTGCCTCTCTGACCACATGTTGCTTAGGATATTAAGAAATGGAACTTCTAGGTGGACAGGCACATTTATATTTTTTAAAAGGTATTTACTATCCAATTGTTTGTAGTGGGTGGATGGTGACCTCCTCCAAGAAGCTGTACCCATGGCCTAAACCCTGGGGCCCATGAATGTGATCGCATTTAGAAAAAGGGTCTTTGCGAATGTACTTGAGTTAAGGGTCTAGAGATGAGAAGGTCATCCTGGGTTACCCAGGTGGGTCCTAAATCCAGTGACAAGTGTCCTTGTAAGAGACAAACAGAGAAGACACAGCCCAGCGGAGAAGGCCGTGAGAAGACGCACGCCCAGCCTGCAGGCCCGGAAGCTGGAGGGGGCAGGGAAGGATGCTCTGGGAAGCCTTTGGAGGGAGGGCAGCACCTTGACTCCCGATTTCTGGTCTCTAGAACAGTGACCGGAGAACTGTCTGTCCTCTTCAGTCCCGGATTGTGGTTCTCGGTTAGAGCAGTGCGAGGACACAGGGGACATCCCTAAGTGACAGTGTGTGAAATGAGCTATCTCAGACCAGTCCAGAGTGAACTCCAGGCCTGCTCCCTATAAAGATGTCAGAATCCCTGTGTGAAAGGGTCTCTCCAACACCAGTGCACACAGGCGCTATGGAATCAGACCCTCACCCAGCAATGGACTCTCTCAGTAGAGTGAGGGGCACAGACTCCCCCCACCTCTTGAGTCAGGTGAGATTAGGAACACTAAGGTCACGTACAATTGGTTCCCTGCTTCTCCACTCAGGTGTCACCCACTTCCAATGCCTCTCAGACCAGTAAATCAATAACAGCAATATGTCACCCAGCAACAATGGGATTCAAAGACCTTGACTTGTCCGTCACAACCTGGGAGAAGCCACTCAACTTCTCTGACGTCCAGACCTCTATCAGTAAAATGGACACAACGTTTGTAAGACCCTTAAATCCAGCCTGGCCCAAGTCCTCCATCCACAGTAACTCTTGTTTCAAAGATTCTTTAAAATGACTTTCATCTCTTTTCTCATGTTCAAAGTACAGCACACTAATGTAAAAAAAAAAAAAAACACTTTTTCTTTTCAATTGGGAGAAGGTTTACAGTGTAGACCAGTTTTCCATTCAACCACTCCGACACCTCTTGTTCCCTGTCATTAACAGCAGGATCATCCCTCATCCCACAATCCTCCATGTGCTTCCAATTCCCATTCATTCCCTCCTGTCCCTTCCTGCCTTCTGAACTCTGACCTTGGGCAAATGTTGCCCTTTTGACCCATCTGGTAGATTATTATATGGGGTTCATACCACCCTAGTGTTATTATTCACCTTCTAGGCCTATTGTTTGGCTGAAAATCGAGTCATAGGGGTGAGTTCCTTTCCAAACTTGAAGGGAGATTCAGGGCTACGGCCTCAGGGATTCCTCCTGGCTTGATGACACTAGTAAGCTTTGTCTTCTTCAGTGACTTTAAAGTTCTGGTCCACATTTTACTCCCACTTTATCCAAGACTTTCTATTCTGATAAGATTTCAGAGTGGTGGTGGTAGTGTTCTGTGGAGTCAGTTCCGACTCATAGCGACCCTGTACAGGGTTTCCAAGGCTGTAAATCTTTACGGGAGCAGAAAGTCTCATCTTTCTCTTGAGGAACAGCTGGGAGTTTTAAACTGCTGAGCTTGAGGTTAGCAGCCCAACTCATAACCATTATGCTACGCGATTTTTGAGTAGGCATCTTGTCTCAGGCTGAGGTTCACCTGGTCCATTATTCTTTGGGACTAATTGTTTCTATGTGTCTTCAATGTTCTTTGCTCCAGGAGGAGAAAGATCAAAAGTTGTACCTGGCAAACTCTTTTTAACACTTTCTTTGTGAAAGTCGTTCGTTGCTGTTATGAGTTGCCATTGAGATGGGGCCAACTCTTGATGACCTTCCGTATCACAGAAGAAAGCAATACCTGGTTCAGCACCATCTTCCTGATTGTTGGCATGTCTGAGTCCAGTGTTGCAATTACTATTCTAATGTATCCTTTTGAGGGTTTCTCTCATTTTCATTGGCTCTCTCCTCTACCAAACACGACGTCCTTTGCTAGCATCTTTCCCGGTAATGTGTCCAAAGTAAGACAGCTGAAGTCTTACCACCCCTACTCCTAAGGAACATTCTGACATTAAAAGGCAAAGAAAAAGGATTAGATAGGAACTTTAGGGGCAGTGAGTTTGTGTTAATGTGGGAGGAATGACTCAGAAAAGGAGGGGGACAAAGGTTGCAAGTCTCAAAGAATGTAACTGGTACTACTGAAGTGTACAACAACTGTAGAAACTGTTGAGCAGCTGTATGTTTTGCCGTAGATATTCTCAACAACAACAACAACAAAATAAAGGCAAAGAAGCCCATTTCATTGCATTTTAAATGTTGGTCATTTTTTCCTTTAAAATTATTCTATTCTTTTTCTTAAATTTACCATTCTGTAGAATTACATAAACACTGAAAAGCTGAGTTTTGTTTCTTTCTTTGCTAAATACAAAATTAATACATGCTCATCACAGGAAAATTTGAGACCATGGGTAATCAATCACAGGCTCAGGTTAGAAGTCTAAGGTGCTATTATCCCTTGTGCCAAAGAGACAGCCAAACTGGAAACAATGGAAAAGCATAGTTGTTGTTGTGAGGTGCCATCGAATCGGCACAGGCTCATAATCTACCCTGTGCACAACAGTACAAAACACTGCCCGGTCCTGCACTAACCTCACAATCATTGCTACATCCGAACCCATTGCTGCTGTCACTGTGCCAATCCATGCAGTTGGAAAAGCATAGAAGCTAGAAAAATGTCCTTGGGAAAGACTACTGCAGGTAAGCATTGTTGTCCTCCATGGGTCTCTATTCAATCAGAGTTGAGATCACCCTGTGTAATAATTTTGTGTTCTGCTCTCATCATTTATTGTTGGAACTCTTCATAAACCCAATGTTTGATGGAGAGCTATACAAAACTCCAGCACTTAGAACATTCTAGTAACTCCTCCGTTCCTTCTCCACTGGGCAGTCTCAACACTTCTCATTCTCAGTGCTATAAATAATGCTGCAGTTCGCATCACAACACGTGACGCGCTGACGCTGGGTGAATTCCTCAGGAGCCATTGATTTCTGGAAGTGGCATTACAGAGTCAAGAGTGGGAAATGCATTCAGAGGCTCTGATTACATTCTGCCAAATTGCTTTCCAGAAAGAGCTCCTTAGGTGACACTCTCACCATCAGCGATTTTAAATCTCGACTCCCCTTCTTGCTGCAGTGTGAGGTTGGCATTTCATTTCTCTGAGGAAGCAGCTATGAGCAATGACCAGGAGCCTGGATTGTAGACGCATGACCTTTCTGATCCAATGCATTAAATGCTGAAGGAAATTCTGCAGCATACGGAAAAACTGAGTCCTTATAATACGGGGGTAAAAAAATGTCAACCAACGTCCTGGCATATTATCGCCAGGTCTTTTCAAAAGAATCTTTAACAAAGATTTTCCGGGCAGGAAAGTTGTCTGCTCAGGATTGAATAAACATGTGAACAAGGAATGGTGATCATAACACCACTTGTTCGCTGTCATAGAGCCAGCTCCAAATCATAGACACTTACATGCAACAGAACAAAATGCTACCTGGTCTTGTCCATCTTCATGACCGTTGGTACGCTGACGTCCATTCTGTAGCTATTATGTGGATCCATCGCATTGAAGCTTTCCCTCATTTTTGTTGACCTTCTACTTTGTTATTGTTGCTGTTAGGTGCCATCAAGCTGACTCTGACTCAGAGCAATGCTGTGCACAACAGAACGAAACACTGCCTCCTCCTGCACCACACTCACAATTGTTGTGTTTGCGCCCATTGTTGCCGCCACTGTGTCGTGTCAGTCCATCTCATTGAGGACCTTCCTGTTTTTTGCGGACCCTCCACTTTACCCAACATGATATGCTTCTCCTGAGACTAGTCTTTCCCCGTAATATGTCCAAAGTATGATGAACATATGAAGTCTTACCATCACTGCTTCTAAGGAACATTCTGGCTGCACTTCTTCCAACATAGATTTGTTTGTTCTTCTGGCAGTCTATGATACTTTCAATATTCTTCTCTAACACCATAACTCAAATGCATCGTTTCTTCTATGGTCTTCTTTATTCATTGTCCAACTTTCATATGCATATGAGGCAACTGAGAATACCATGCCTGGCTTGGGTGAGGCACACCCTAGTCCTCAAACTAAGCATCTTGGATCTTAAATAATTATAATTAGAGGTCTTGTGCAGCAGGTTTGCCTCGTGCAGTACGTCTTTTGATTTCTTAACTGCTGCTTCCATGA